CACAGTGCCAGCGCAGCAACGCAGGTATCCTGCTCGGGCAGCAGCCTCAGCCACCGTGCCAGCGCAGCAGCTTGAGCCACCGTGACAGCGCATCACCGCCACCTTTGTGCCTGCTACCACCACACTTACCGCTGCAGCCCCGCTACCTCCACAATTCCGACTGACCCCCCGCTACTACCGCAAATCCCATTGCAGCCCAGCTACCACCACAGTTCCCACCGTTGCCTGGCGACCACCACAGTTGCCACCGCAGCTTCCCAACACCATGCAGTTCCCATTGTAGCCCCCGCTACCACCACATCTCCCACTATAGCTTTCCACTGCCATGCAGCTCCAGTCTTGGACGGGATCATGGTTTATTCGTATGTCCTGCGCGACTAGCCTTCGCCCGTCAGAAAAAAAAAGGCAGAGCAAGCAATGGCATAACTGACCGACAGAGCTTAGAGAGCAGGTCAAAACTCGAATCCGCCCACCAGCACGCAACATGCCATAGCGCACCAGGTCGCCGCATCGCCAACTCGTGCGCAGTGCTTCTTCGTGCGCGATGGGCAACTTTACAACCAACATGCCTCAAAGAGCCCAAAGCCACCCTTGCGCTTGCCCACGGAGATTTCAGGGAAAGGCACGCGTGCATCCACTATGTGTTTTTACTTGCCTGGTTGTAAAGTGCCCTTCCTGGTTGTAAAGTGCCCTTCTCGGATTTTGTAAGCTGGTTGTAAAGTGACCCATCTGGTTGTAAAGTGCGCTTCTGGTTGTAAAGTGACCCGCACGCGGTTGGACCTCCCCCCCACTGCGGGATGGGGGGGGTTCGGGGGGGGGAGGGGGTTAGGGGGGAGGGGGTTCCCCCTGGTTCTGATCGACGGCGCCATGTGTTGGGGGCGGGGGCCCACCCCCCGGTGTGAAACGCGCCGCCGAACGTTCCCAAGACAAGCGCCCGTGAAACGCGCTCTCTCCGACGTTGTGGGGCTCCCTGTGTGTGGTACGACCTGTGTGTTGTAGTCAAGGTGGTCCTGCATGCGTGGTGCCAGGTGTACGTGGGGTTTGCCATGTCGGTGAAGTCGATGTCCGAGAATATCATGCCGTCAGCCTCAATGCTCGAGCAGATTTTGCTCGATCAACTAAAATGGCGCAGTGACGCGAGGACACTTCTGATGCAGATGCATGCTTCGAGCGGGCGAGTGATGACGGTGACGACCGTATCGGCGACGGCGACGACGATCCTGTTTGCGGTAGTTGTAACGCTGATGGCGAGGGCAACGACTAAGATGATGACGACGTTTGTGATTATGACGGCGACGGCACTGTTGATGGTGATGCAGAAGATGGTGATTTGTGATGGCGGGGCTGGCGGTGTCGCTGACGATAGTGAAGACGATAGTGAAAACGATAATGCCCATGAGAACGACAAGGAATCGCGCGCGCACAGACTATTCATGTTGCTTGTTGTCGTTTGCTTGTGTTTGAACGCCTCTGTCTTGCAATGCTCAGGTCGGGGGTGGACAGAGCCCCCACCCTGACACGTCGATGACTGAACTGTCCGTTTTCGGTTCTCGGGAGGGCGCCGCGGCCGTCATTTTCCAGGCTTGCGCCCGCAGGGTTTGGGCCCGATGTCGACTTCACTGAACCACGTTTTGTTAACAGGAGGTCCGTGCGTCCCCGATGAGGGAAACGATGGCCTTGCGGTGATCTCACGCGTCGGCGTACGGGCACGCGCGCGTGCGGCCCCACGCTGCGCCGTTCGGCAGTGTCTTGGCGGATGCACGGTGCTCGTTGGACAACTCCTGCTTGCGCGCCCGTGCGGCCCGCGCGCAGCGCCTGACACCATGTCAAGCCGCACACACATAGCGATCGTTTCTTTCCCCAGATCCTAAGATGGGGTTTTTGTTCTTACTTGGACGCCTCCTACTCCTCCTTCTCCTTCCTCTTCTCGTCCCCTCCTCTTCTCGTCTCCTCCTACTCGGCCCCTCCTCGTCCCGTCTCCTCCTACTCGGACTCACTCATACTCAGACTTACTCATGCCCAGACCTACTCACACACAGACTTACTGATACTGAGACTTACTCATACCCAGATTTACTCATACCCAGACGTACACATACACAGGCTTATTCATACACGTACTTACTCATATTCAGACCCATACCCAAACGTACACATACACATATTTACTCATACGCAGACTTATTCATATTCAGACTTACTCATACCCATACGTACTCATACACATACTGGCTCATACTCAGACCTACTCATACTCAGACCTTCTCATAGTCTGACTTATTCAGCACACATCAGATGTGGAGGATGTTTCAGGCGGGGCGCTCGTTCCAGCACCGCTAAGGGGAGCCGCCAGGGGCGTTTGCACGGGCCCGTTCGCGGCCATGTCCTGTGGATGTCTCAGGCGGTTTGCTTGTTTCGGTGCTCAACATCCTTCGCTTGGAGAGCAGATGGTGAGGATGTTTCAGGCGAGGCTCTGGTTTCAGCACCCCTAAGGGGAGCCGCCAGGAGTGTTAGCACGGGCCCGTTCGCGGCCATGGTGTGGGGATGTCTCAGGCGGTTTGCCTGTTTCGGTGCTCAACATCCTTCGCTTTCAGAGCAGATTGTGAGGATGTCTCAGGCGAGGCGCTGGTTTCAGCACGCCTACGGGGCGCCGCCAGGGGTGTTTGCACGGGCCTGTTCGCGGCCAGTTTGTGGAGATGTCCCAGGCGGTTTGCCTTTTTTGTGGCCCAGTATCCTTTGCTTTCGCGGCAGATTTTGAGGACGTCTCCATGTTTTCATGCCCGAGATCCTGTGCTTTCAGAGCAGATTGTGAGGATGTCTCAGGCGGGGCGCTGGTTTCAGCACCCCTAAGGGGAGCCGCCAGGGGTGTTTGCACGGGCCCGTTCGCGGCCATGTTGTGGGGATGTCTCAGGAGGTTTGCTCGTTTCCATGCCCAACATCCTTGGCTTTTAGATCAGATGTTGAGGATGTCTCAGGCGGGGCGCTGGTTTCAGCACCCCTAGGGAGAGCCGCCAGGGGTAGGACACGGGCCCGTTCGCGGCCATTTTGCGGGGATGTCTCAGGCGGTTTGCTCGTGTTCATGCTGCGAGTAAGGAGATGAGGCGTGCTGCTCCCTTGGCTAAACGTTCGTTTTACAGTTCCCACTGCCAACTATCCTAAAACATATGCACATTACCACAGGCTGAGGAGGGCACGGCCTGGAAGAGGAGGGGGAGTGAATGGGAGGTTCATATTCAATCACAGTCAAAGCTCGCTCTGACTCATACTCACTCACTCGCATTCGGATTCACTGGTCTTCGTCGGCCTTGTCGCCCACGTGGACGCGCTATTATATTCAGGCGCTCATGAACAGACGCTCACTATGGCATGACATAAAACATGAGATGCGCATATGGGGAGCTCCACGCATTGAGTAATTATTCAGTGTGTTGCCGATCGGCGCGGGCCTTCGCACTCCCCTTCCCCCCCCCCCTTCCCATGGAGTAGGTCTTGGCTGTTTTTGGTGCCTGTTTCAGGCAGGTGGAGGTTCCCTCCATAGGACGCACTGTTCCAAACAGTCGCACAAAGCAGATCTCCGGAGCCAGACCGCCCCCGCCCCCTCCCCCCCGAAACGCCGAATACGAAAACGCTCACATACGTATACGCATGCCGATCAATGTTCTCAGCGACACATACACGTCATGAACATGGCGAGTGCGCGCGCAAAAGCTATGGTTCCTGTTTGAAAAAAAGATGGAGTGTTTACAGACAAGTTTGACGCGTACACTTTTGAAGTCGTTCGAGAACTGCTGTTTGTTCACCGATTGTGACAGTCGGGCGAGGAGCGCGCGCGCGTATGGCCCGCAAAGCGTATCCTTCTAAATTGCATGTGTCGGTTCAGAGCGAGTGCCCGCATAGTTATAGTCAACGAGGATGAGGGGTGCGACGCGTGGACTGGCTGGGATGGTACGGATTCGGTTATATCATGGGCGATTGTGCAGAATAGTATGCCCAGGGATTCGCGAGTTCTGGCTTCGGCATGGGCGCAGGGTTCAATATTCAAGAACAAATCGAGACTACGGGGTGCAGCTAATTGTGCGCCTGCCAGCGTGACCACCTCCCATGCACCAGCAAACATCACACCCACCCACCCACCCGCAACTTGCATGCACAACTGAAGAGGCCGTCAGGGCTGCTACCGATCGGGTTGATCGGATTCTGATCGCGTATCTCCATTGGCGCAATGACGCGCGGACCCTTCGCATACATATCCATCGCTGGGGAGGACGAGAGGTAATGAAGACGCTAGCGGCGGCGACGTCCGAAATGCTGGTAATGGTGATGGTGGTAACGATGATGATGCGTTGGGAGAACTTACGCCCAGACACGTCGATTGAGGCATTCCGCAGTGGATACTCAACAGAGGCATTCGCAGTGTGCCAGCGCAGCCCACCGTCGGTTCCGTTCGTCGACGTGTGTTTCGCTGGATACATTCGGTAGCATGTGGACGTCGATTCGCTAGTCCTCCCTGGTCTACTCGATAAGAGACGGGACGACCATAATGAGAACGATGATGATATCTACGGCGGTGATGGTTGCAATGATGATGGTGGTGGGGATGAGTATGGTGATGAATGAGGACGCGCCGAGGCTGGAAGTATCGAATCGTCTTATTGCCCGACAGCGGGTTTCCTATCCCGTTTTGACTCTGAGGAGTCCCATCCTGAAGCCGCTGGAAAAGAAAAAGCCTTCGGTCTCGAAAGACGCTGACGTGCGCCTGGGGGCGCGCGCGCATGGCCCGCACGGTGGTTTCACTTGACTGGGATGTTCGCGCTTGCGACGGCAGTCGTGGGCCCCTGGGAGGGAAGGAGGAGGAGGAGGAGGAGGAGGAGGAGGAGGAGGGCGAGGAGGAGGAGGGAGAGGAGGAGGAGGAGGGAGAGGAGGAGGAGGAGGAGAGCAGGAGGAGAGGAGGAGGAGGAGGGAGGAGGAGGAGGAGGAGGGGGCGCGGCGGGCCGCCCGAGGCCCCGACGCGGGCCTGCCGACCATCCACGTCTTCTCCCTGGCCAGCGGGCACCTCTACGAGCGCCTGCTCTCCGTCCGCCCGCCCAGGGGCGCGCCCGCTCACGGCGGCTGCGCCGGCTGCGCGGCGAGCGGTCCCCGGTCGCGGCGACCAGCGGTGGCCGACCGCGGCGGCCATGATGGGCCTGTTTTCCACCACCACCACCATGAGTTGGAGGGGGGAAGGAGGAGGACGAGGAGGAGGAGGAGGAGGAGGAGGAGGACCCCCTCCCCCTCCAACATATGGTGGTGGTGGTGGAAAGCAGGCCCGTCAGACCAGCGGGCGATCGGGGCCGGACGCGTTCGGCAGCAGCATGACGGTCAACATGGATGCGGTCGGGCCGGGGTACAGGATCGACGTCGGTTCGGGGAGGCCTGGTGCTCTTCGTGTTTGTTGCACGTTCTTGTGCATCCTGGGGGAGGGTGCCCCCTTGGATGTTCTGTTTGTGTTTTGGCTGGCGGATGGTCTCGTGTTCTTGCAGGGCGCTCTTCTGGCCCAGGTTCGACTGCAGTAAGCATGAGCGAGTCTTAAGGTTCCCCTGGCATCTTTCTCTTTCAGTCCATCTTCTTCGGCCACTTTCGCTGGCCGCGTCCCCCATCGAAGAGTGTCGGCGTGGCCCTCCAAGGCCCATGGCATCCTTGTCGCGCATCCTCGTTATACGCGTTGACTGTATTCGCTGGAGGCGACTGAGCCTTCGAGGCCCTCTCTTCTCCGACGCGGCCGGGCACGGCTCGGTGGCTGATGCAAGGCACAGGGGCCAGCTCTCAGCGGAGCCCTAGCAATGGAAAGGGATGTGGTCCCAACATGGGCGTAGTGATGTACGGTAGGTTCGCGCCGTGTCGAGCGGCGGTGGCCTCGCCGCCAGCGCTCAACGTTAAACGCCGCGGGCGACCCAGAATCGGTCGATGTTGAACGATCTGATCTTTCGGGAACGGCCGACCGTTCAAGGTTGAAGAATCCCCGCGGTGTCAGAAACCAACGCTGGGACCGACACAATGCGAATCCGCGGTACCAAATAGCAGTTTGGTTGTTGTTAGGACCATCGCGGATCGATCTGGCTTGGAATCGGGGCAAACGGCTTGGTCGAAAGGGCTGCTCGATTTTTTTTCACGGCGACGGCGACGATATTTTCGACGACGTCCGATGTCAAGCGCTGATCGCAGCAATCATCGATCGGGTCAGTGACCGTGCTTGTGCGATCGGATAGCGGCTAAGCACAGCGATCATCGGTCGCAACGAGATGACCAATAGATCGTGGCCGCAGCGGTCTGCGACCTGCACGTGATCGGCGCCAGATGTGGTCGCGATTGCGGTCCAGAAGAGGGCGTGCGAGAACGCGGGGCCAACGTGCAGTGTCCGATGAGGAGGAGGAGGAGGAGGAGGAGGAGGAGGAGGAGGAGGAGGAGGAGGAGGGAGGAGGGGGAGGGAGGAGAGGAGGAGGAGGAGGAGGAGGAGGAGGAGGAGGAGGGAGGAGAGGAGGAGGAGGGGGGAGGAGGAGGAGGAGTAGGAGTGGGAAGAGAGAGAGGAGGAGAGGAGGAGGGAGGAGGAGGAGGAGGAAGGAGGAGGAGGAGGAGAGGAGGGGGAGGAGGAGGAGGGAGGGAGGAGGAGGAGGACGAGAGGGAGGGGAGGAGGAGAGGAGGAGGGGAGGAGGAGAGGAGGAGAGGAGGAGGAGGAGGGAGGAGGAGAGGAGGAGGAGAGGAGAGGAGGAGGAGGAGGAGGAGGAGGCGGGAGGAGGAGAGAAAGAGAGACAGAGAGAAAGAGAGAGAGAGAGAGAGAGAGAGAGAGCTGCACCCGTCCTCACAGCGTCCTCGGCGTGGCGGTCGGCAGCGCGACGGGGGCGAGGGCCCGCGAGAGCGCGAGGGGCGCACGCCCGACCTCCTGCCAGACCTTTCGGTCGGCACCCCGCGGCGTCGGAACTAACATGCCGCAGCGTGGTGTTTACCTCCTCCTCCTCCTCCTCCTGCTCGTCCTCCTCCTCCTCCTCCTTCTCCTCCTCCTCCTCCTCCTCCTCCTCCTCCCCCCTCCGAGCCTCGAACTGCGGTTTCGAGTCAGACTCGGAGGCTTCCGATTTCGGCTGAACGTGGAGGTGATCTGGCTTCAGGCCCGTCCCCAACAACCTCCTCCTCCTCCTCCCCCTCTGTAGCCATTTTGGCTCAAGCCGTGTCGGCCCAGGCGTTTCTGGGTTTGCCCGAGTGTTCTTCGACGCAGTTCGCTCGGGCGGGCCATCGATGGCGACAAAGCATCCTTCTTGGCCGTGTGGGGACTGTGCGAGGGTGTACGGCACTGCGTTTGCCAACTACGCCTACCGTGCCCACTGCCTGCGCCGAGGGAAGTGCTTGAGAAGCAGAAACAGCTACATCATGGGAAAAGCTTGGGTGGGAAATCAAAGGCTCCGTGGCACACCATTAAGAACAGGTGGGAGGACGGACCGCCTGTTGGACTACGCCGAGACGAGCCACAGGGACCACCAGCTCCAGCACCTGCACCAGTCGACCAGGCAACGTCGAATGCAATGCTTGAGACAATGGCAAAGGCGCATGGAGACGACAGGTCACAGTGGCCTACACAGGTGCAGAGCATGGTGCAGCTATGGGACAAGATGGTGGCAGTCAAGCCTCAGGAAAACCAGCCCGTGGACATCACCAAGCTCAGCTCGTTCCAGCTGGGACAGCGCCTGAAGGACACAAACAAGAATCTACACAAGTCCGAGGAGCGACTCGAGGAGCGCGAGGAGGAGTACCAGCGTGCTTCTTGCTGCTCGCGACGCCGGGAGGCAGATCCTGGACAATCACAAGCGCAAGAAGCAGCAGCTTGAGAAAGCAACGACCAAGGCCTTCCTACGAGAGCAGGCGAGCTGTGCAGACAATCCAGCGCTGCAGCTCTGCGGGAAGGCTGCGGAGGTTCAGTTGTCAGGTGGAAGTGGCGAGGTCCCTGAATGTCTTGGAGGACCGATGCTTGCACTCCAGCAGGCAGTCGAGGCGTACCAGCAGCAGCAGAAGCAGAAAGAGGAAGAGGAGCGTGCAATGGCTCAGCATCCTCAGCATGCTATTGATGGTGGTGGCGGGGATACTAGCGATGAGCCCCTGCAGCACAACGGACCTGATGACATCCCGGTCCCCGGCGGCTCTACGCCGAACAGGGGCTCAAGCTTGATGGAGTTGAGGAAGAGGCGGAGGTCAAGCGTATCACAGAGGCACGCAAGCGACTTCGGCACCAGCTTGCTGTCGCAGCAGAGCGAGCGAAGAGAAAGAGGGTGGCGGCCCCAGCAACTGCAAGTGGAGTGAGCACTTGAGGACTTCACGACGGTCAGTGGCTGGGGCCAGTTCCGGCAGTTAGTGGACAACACCAGGTCCACGTTTCACCAGATGGGTTCGCTTGAGAATGCATCGCCTCCAAGGCTGTGTAAGGCAGTGCACTTGCTGGATTGTCTCAACAGTCTGGGCTTTGCAATTGCATCAGTTTTTTCTGCGTCGGCATCGGCAACGTCGGCATCCCTGCATTCTGCCCATGGAAAGATGGTGGCGGAACAAAATACGAGTTGCGTATCTCTTGGGAGTTCTTCGACAGCGACGTAGAGGGCGACTCAGCACTCAGTCTCTGGTGGGCACGCAACGTACTCCGCGATGGGCAACCGAACGAGTTTGCCGCAACTGTGGCACGGGTCTTCCGAGACAGGCTCGCCCAGAGGAGGTGGAGACTGCCGGGGTCAGAACTTGGAGAATCACGGCGGCGAACATCACTTCGGCGCAGAAGGAGGCGGCAACGATTTCAATCATTGCTGCTGAAGTAGTTGAGATTGAGGTCGAGGCTGACGCGCTTCTCACCCAAGAGCACAAGTTGCTCAAGCCGGCCGTGAGCGACACAGTCGTGAGGCTCAGGCATCAAGGCTGGCATTTTCGCGTTGGGCGAGCCAGACAAGGCAACTCAAGCGGCGCAGCCTCGTCGGGGCTTGCAGTGGGAGTCAGGCAAGATATTGGCTCAGCTGATCCACCAGATCTTGGGGGAGTTGCGCCGCCAGAGTCGAGGTGGGCAACGCAGTGGATCGACGGCGTGCTCCCTGATGGGTTTGTCTTGGCCTCGATCTACCTCATCTCGCGGCCGCGGCAGATTGCCATGCCAAAGAAGTTCCCCAAAGAGTGCCCCCTGGGGGCGCCTAGGCCTAGGGGGCGACCTTCGCGCGCCCAGGTACACAGAGCATGCGAACATGCACGAGAGGCGCAATATTCAGATGGGCGCTTTCAGCCGTGGATGACGCTGGCAGAGAATGAGCTGGCTGACAGATACCATCTGCCAGAACACAAGCGTCGAGCTTCCGCTGGAGGAGGCGAGTTATTGGACCCGCATTTCACGCTGGCGGCGGCGGCGAGAAAAGCACCAGGACGAGGAGCTGAAGGAGTTCCTGCGTCGAGCAACTGGAGAAGAGCGCCCATGGCATCCAAGATCTCATACATGCGCTCAAGCGAAAGCGGGGGCAGGACTCGCAGTTCGTGAGACAAAGATTGAGGGCGCTCCAGAATCTCAGACGTAAGAATTTGGGCATGGGAAGTTCTTGGTTTGTTTTTTGGCCTCGGCTCAAGTATGAGCGGTGCTGGGAAGATGAACGGCTGCGCGACTGCAGTCGGCTTGCGGCGCAAGAGGCCGCCAAGTTGGAGCAGCAGCATGCTAAGCAGCGCGTGAAGGGATGGAGACAGGCAGTTGCACAACCCATGGAGAAGGGGCAGGCCACGGCGCGCAGATGGAGCAAACTACCGACAATGTGGGCGCACGTTGAAGGCCACCCCAACACGGGCATCAAGTCGCATGCGACCACTCACGACGCGGACCTTCAGCAGTGGCTCAATATATGGAATCACGATCCTGCGCAAAATCCTTTTTGGGAGGACTTCGCTTGCAGAGTGTTGACGATGATGGGCAGATGGAGACTCTTGAAGTTGATCAGATTCGCAAGGCAGCGCTAACGTTCGAGGGGAAGACAGCCCCAGGCATTGATAACCTGGGGCCCAGGAGCATGGCGTTGTTATCAGGTGATTACCTTC